TGTGTGTGACTTCTGGGTTTCATGTCATCTTAGAAAGACTACTCAAAATTGTAAATACGTTCAACTTAGTTTTTTCTAGCATTTTTATGATTTTCTATTTTCATATTTAGCTTTTTAATTTATCTTTATTTTTGGTATGTTGTACTGTGGGGAACTATAACAAAGTTCATACTTTTTTTTTAAAACTTGCTTTGTTTCAGTTAAAATGGTTATAGATTACCCCAGAACTTGGTGGTGTGTAATAATTTATATGTTCATTGCTTCTGTGGGTTGGGGATTTGGAGACAGCTTGGGGAACAGTTTGTCTCTGCTCTGCAATGTCTGTGTGGCCTCTCCATGTTCTTTTCTATCATAGGCGGCTTCAGGGTAGCCAGATTTAGGATGAAAAGAACTCTCAAGGCATGCAGGGTATGAGTCCTGAGGGAGAGAGAAAGACAGACACAGAGAGACAAGTAGCACCTGCGTTGTCTTTTATGATCTAACCTTAGAAGTCACACACTGTTACTTCTCCTTTCTTATGTTAACCTAGGCAATTGCAAACATCCAGGTCCAGTGGGGAGGAAAATCTGTTATTGTCACATTGTCAAAAGAGCAATTAAGATGGATATATATTGGTGTGGCCCCCTTTGGAAAATACAATCTGCCACACCTTTCCTCCACTGTAAATATATACTCAGTTTTTCAGGAATCTAACTGGTATAAAATGTACATAAAGAGCAGGGATATGCCTGTATTTCATTATTAAAACCTGTGAATTTTTAAAAAAACTCATATTGTGATTTGCTATTTCTTATTATAAGTTGCAGTTGTATAAAAATTTAAAATTCAGTTTAATAGTCCTACATCAGCATTATGTTATGATAGTTCTTCAAAATCTTTTTTTTTGAAGATTTTATTTATTTATTTGACAGAGAGAGACAGCGATTGAGGGAACACAAGCAGGGGGAGTGGGAGAGGGAGAAGGAGGCTTCCCGCTGAGCAGGGAGCCGGATGTGGGGCTCGATCTCAGGACCCTGGGATCATGACCTGAGCCGAAGGCGGAAGCTTAATGACTGAGCCACTCAGGCGCCCCAGTTCTTCAAAATCTTTATCTGTTGATTGGTTTTAGAATTTACTTTAAGAAATATCTTTGTGTGGGCTAGAATAATTTCTTAACTTTGTAAACATTTCCTATTTGTGTTGGGAAATAATAGCTACAGGGATAATTGCAGATTTTTTTCAAAACGAATATTATAAAGAATTGATTACATATTGATTTAAAGTAAAATATAGCAAATTCTTAGTAACCCAAGAGATGATTACCCAGTTTATGGATTATTTGGCCTTTAAAAAAAAAATCCTTATGTAATGAAAAAAAAACACTCTTTTTTCTGTGAATTCATTTATATTCTCAAAAAAGAATAAAGGTTGCATTTTGCCTTTTGATTTATATTCTAAATGACTGAAGCATGTAATACTAGTGAATGTTAGTAGCTTTGAGTTTTATGGCTTTAAATCTGTGGTTTTTAATTTTAGTATACATTCTGTTTAGAATATGATTTTGGGGGGGGCTTATGGCTGATTATAATTTTCATGATTGATGCAGTCAGACTTAATTGGCCGTAGGATAGAATATATCATTATCAACTGTTGAGAAGCAGTGGATTATCTGCTGGTTTTTAGGACTATCTTGCATGGCAGTTGTGTCCGCTGTTGCTGTGCTGGAGTGAAAACATTTAAGGGGAACTGAGAAGACAGATATAGCTGCAGGTAAATCATAAGCTTTGGGGGAAAACCTGACATAAAACAGTAATGAGAGAATTGCCATGGAGAAGGTAGGTAATTTGCTAAAATAGGGGTAATCCATGCATGAGTAATTGAATGTTCCCTATTTGTACTTCTGGGAAATTGAGAATTTAAAAGTTCTTTGATTTTCTGTATAAGTTGCCAGATTTGCTTGGGATATATGATGATTTTGATCACCAAGTTATTTAAATAGATGATTAGTACATTTAATAAATCTGTATTAAGATTAAATTAAGTGCAGTATAATTCTTTATATTTGCATTTTGTTTTAAAGCCTTCCAAAGTGTTTTTATCTCTGTATATCACTTTAGCATCACAAGGTCCCGTTCTATATTATCTTTGCTTGGGCTGCCATAACAAACTACCATAGAGTGGGTGGTTTAACAACAGGAATTTATTTCTTGTAGTTCTGGAGATTGGACAGTCTAAGAGCAAGGTCTGGCTAATTCGGGTTCCTTGGTGAGGACTCTTCTAGCTTGTTGCCTTCTGGCTGTGTCCTCATGTGGCAGGGAGTGGGAGACCTCTTAGCTCTCTTTCTTAAGAATACTAATCTCATTATGGAGGCCCCACCCTCATTACCTCTTCAGCACCTAGTTACCTCATACGTCTTGTCTCCAAATATCAGCACATGGAGAGTTAGGGCTACAACATATGAATTTTAGGGGGAGGGGAATATATTCAGCCTATAACACACATGAAAGGAAATATTTTCTCATTTTATAGATGAGAATATTGATCCCAGAGTAGTAGTTTAAATTAATTCTGAACATTACCTAGCTAGTAAGTTAGAGAACTAGTTTCTTTAATCAAATACTCTTGTTTTTACCATTTAATGCAACAATTTAAATCTGCAAGTCAGAAATCATGTCTTGTTATTTCCCAGCGTGACTATAATTTATCTCTAAGTCTCTGACAGTATTTCAAATTCCTGCCAAGCAAACGAAGCTGCTCCTGGTTCTCTGAATACACACTGTGCTCTTCTGAGATTTCTTCTTTTTTCATTTGAAAGGTCTATTCATCCAGTATTTCTAGGAAACTTGTCCTGATTCCTTTTTCATTTTGTTTCTTAGATGAGTATCTATTAAGAGGCCTGGACTTGCAATTTTTTTTTTTAAGATTTTATTTATTTATTTGTCAGAGAGAGCAAGAGAGCACAGAGGGAGCAGCAGAGGGAGCAGCAGAGGGAGAGGGAGAAGCAGGCTCCGCACTGAGCAGGGAGCCCGTTGCGGGACTGGATCCCAGGACCCTGGGATCATGACCCGAGCTGAAGGCAGATGCTTAGCTGACTGAGCTACCCAGGTGTTGCAATTTTAAGTTTGTGCTTTTTTTAAAAAATTTTTTATTGTTATGTTAATCACCATACATTACATCATTAGTTCTTGATGTAGTGTTCCATGATTCATTGTTACTTTTTTTTTTTTGGTTAATGGCTCTCTTTTTTTAAGTAGAGCAGTTCTAATTTTCAGTTATTATACTGTTTGTTCCTAAATATCTCTTATCTCTTTGTTTTCTCTTGAATGATCTCATTTATACTTTTTTTGGTTACTTTCTACATCTTTTGTTTTCTAACCCATAGCCACCAAGTCCTAAATCTCTCCTGAATGTTTTCTCTCCAATTCTACTAGCTTTATCCTGGCTTAAAGTACCATTATTTTCACCTGGACCGTTGTGTAAACTTCTTACAATTTGATCGCCTTTTTTTAGCCACTTTAATTTTCTTCCTTTCTGTTATCCATACTACACCAGGGATGACACTTGAAAGCAGCAGAGGGCCTGCCCACAGTAGCAGTAAAATAGTTACTGAATGAAATCAGTAGGTACTGATGTCTGCCATCTTCCCTGTCCCTGCGATCAAGCATTTGTGTGGTAGGAGACTGCGGAAGGATTGCACATGAAATGTATTTGGTGTTGGGTATCATGCTCTTTTGTACTTCACTAGGCATCCCAACTTCCTTTTACTGTTCTTCTCCTACCCCCCCTTTTTTTTTTTTTAAAGATTTTATTTATTTATTTGAGAGAGAGAGAGAGAATGAGAGATAGAAAGCACGAGAGGGAAGAGGGTCAGAGGGAGAAGCAGACTCCCCGCTGAGCAGGAAGCCCGATGCGGGACTCGATCCCGGGACTCCAGGATCATGACCTGAGCCGAAGGCAGTCGCTTAACCAACTGAGCCACCCAGGCGCCCCCTACCCCCTTTTTATTTACCATTTCAGCTCAGGCACAAGTTTATCTTCCTGTTTGACTCTTTATTTAGAATCTAGTTACCTTATGTATGGAATTTTAAACTTGAATATAGAAAATTAATTATACAGGGTTTTTTTCCTCCCTTATCAGGAAGCAGCAATAGTGTATCAGTTCTTCTAGAGTTTAGTATTAACTTTACTACTTTTGTGCTCTAGTTCTTGGGTATTTAGCACATTCTTACTTGATTCTTAGAACAGCCCTTACCTTTTTCTTTTCTTTTTCTTTTTTTTTTTTTTTTTAAGATTTTATGTATTTATTTGACAGAGAGAGAACACAAGCAGGGGGAGTGGGAGAGGGAGAAGCAGGCTTCCTGCTGAGCAGGGAGCCTGATGCAGGGCTCGATTCCAGGGCTCTGGAATCATGACCTGAGCTGAAGGCAGATGCTTAATCACTGAGCCACCCAGGCACCACAGAACAGCCCTTACCTTTATTTATTTATTTATTTTTCCAGAATGTATCTGTAGGCTTTTATTAGGGCAAACATTTCCATAACCATAAATGTCACATTATCACAGATAGATTGTACCAAGTATCTTTGTTAAATAGTAATCCAAAGTGAAGTAAAAGTAAAATAAATTGTAAATGAAGACATTTCAGCATATAAACCAATTAGTCTTCAACAGTTTTTAATATGAGGATCTAATAACATTATTTTCCACATAAGTAATTATTAATGTAAAAACCAAAATTAAGAGAGATGATACAGATGATATTGTACTTTTCCATAATAAACATGTTTAATATTTTTATGAATCCCATTTAGTATTACAAAATAAACTACTGGACAAAAACTTGTAAAATTTCAGAAAAATAGACATGAAAAGTTTGACAATGTATATAAATAGTTTAGAAATATTATCATAGGCATGGAAATGTGACAATTATTTCAACATAAGGAAATGCTATAAAAGCAGAGGGTTGTCAAAACAGAGTACAAGAGATATTCTGAAACAAATGAAAAATCAAGGTCTTGTAGGAATGACAACAATTTTTAATGTATGACAAATACTGAAATGCCAAAGGGAAAATGAACAGAACTATTTCCTCGTGGTGGTGACAATGGACAGAGGCAGCTTTTAAAAATGCAAAGGACATAGCAAATTAACTTACCACCTCCTTCATATAAAAATGAGAATCTCTTGGGAGAGTTTAAGTACCATTAGCAGACACATCTTATAGCAGTTAATGCAATGCTTTGTATTTCAATGGAAAACTATTTCAATGGTGAAAATGACATAGGAATCAGAAGCATATTCTTCTGAGACTCAAGGAAGTTAACACTTTCCCGAACAGCTGCCACAACCCTGGGATCCTCATGAGACTGATGTCTCCCAGCGGCACGACTGTGCACTCTCATTCCACCAAAGAACATGAACTCTGTTGAGCACTCCATATTCTGCATGGAACACTCCAACTAGTTTTGTGTAGCCTCGATTGATATGAGTATGAACTCTCCTTTTAAATGGGTCACCCCACAGAGCTGACCCACCAGGTTTCATTTGAAAAGTAGCTAGTTCAGGGCGCCTGGGTGGCTCAGTCGGTTGAGTGACTGCCTTCGGCTCAGGTCATGATCCTGGAGTCCCGGGATCGAGTCCCGCATCGGGCTCCCCGCTCAGCGGGGAGTCTGCTTCTCCCTCTGACCCTCTTCCCTCTCGTGCTCTCTATCTCTCATTCTCTCTCTCTCAAATATATAAATAAAAAATCTTAAAAAAATAAATTTCAAAAAAAAAGAAAAGTAGCTAGTTCATAGATACCTTCTTTTGGAGCCTTTTCTAGTTTGCACCATGGTACCAGATAAGTAATCTCACTCTCCTGTTTATCAATAAGAGCCAAATTTGGAATGAGGTACTGTTCTTGCCATTCCTTATCTTTGGCCAATGCTTTCCGAACTTCAGTTCGATGAGCAAAATTATCATACTTCCAAATATGAAACACTTTATTCATTCTGCCTCCAAATTCTACACTCCAGTATCCAACCAATTCAGAGTGAGCTGTTCGAAGATGAATGTTTTTCTTAGTATTTTCCAGGAACTCATTCATCTTTGAGGGCTTAAGATAATAGGTATGAAATTCATAGAGTGTTCCATCGTATTGTCTGGGGCCTGTAGCAAAAGATGAGCACACCTGAGGTGCAAGCTTCCGCACAGCCAGAGCCCTAGTCAGGCTGCTTCGGAGGACGAGCATGGCAGGGCTTCAAGCGCTGGGAAGGACAGCCAGCCGGTACTCTTTCTTAGATTCCTCCTGTTAGGGCTTACCCGCCTGGAAAAGAGCAGCGACTGGACTACCACAGCCCTTACCTTTAAAGAACATAATGCCTCCTCCAAAGGGAACTGAAGTTCTGAGAGCTAAAGTGACTGCTTTTATTTAATTATGGGAAATTCTAAACTCACAGAAAATAGAGAATTATATAATTAACATCCCTATTACCCACCTTCACCACAAGCAATCTTGTTTTATTTAAACCCGACCTTACTTCTCTGCTCCACCATTTTCTTGAAATAAATACTATTATTTTATATATAAATACTTCAGTTAAAATGACTCTTTCAGGGGCACAATAATAGCTAGTGAAAGCCAGAACTCAAATCCAGGAGTGTTAGTGTTGAATGGACAATACAACCCTTGCTTGTAGTTCAGTATGGGGCTTGACCATCCATTACCATACAGTAGTGACACTGATGTTCACAGGTCCCACATGGTTTAAAAAACTTTTTTTTTCTAGTTTTAATGTATCAAGTGATATAAATAGGATAGTAAAGGAACATTATCCCCAATCTTGTTACCCAAAAATGTTAGTTATTTTCATTACTTTATAGTGGTACCTTTTATAGTTTTTTTTTTTTTTTAAGATTTTATTTATTCGGGAGAAAGAGAGAGAGGAGAGAGAGAGAGGGCACAAGTGGAGGGGGGGTGGGGAGGGGCAGAGGAAGAGGGAGAAGCAGGCTCCCCGCTGAGCAGGGAGCCTGATGGGATTGTGACCGTGACCAGAGCCAAAGGCGGACACTTAACCGATTGAGCCACCCAGGCGCCCCCCTTTTATAGTTCTAATTGTCTGTGTCATTCATGTCATCATTTTTGGTGGAGGTCATATTGCCAAATGTTTATTTCCTTTTTCCATTCTTTTTTCTTGTTCTGTAAGGAAAACAGTGGAACATCCCGACCATAGTATATTGTTTCATTTTACACTGAGAAACTGACTTGGTAATCCTTTCCTAAAGTTTGTTGGTTGGGGTGGGGAGTTTGTCAATACCTAGGGATAGATGCTTAAATTAATTGATAGTTTCCATGCTATCATGAGGCTAACATGAGGCTAAACTTGTTTTTTCTTTTGGAGTAATTGTTTACCTGGAGAATAGGTTGAAATTCCTCAAAAGATTCTGAGTGTTTGAAGTCTGAAACATCTACTTGGTAGTAAATGATTCTTTTTTCTGTCACTAGATTGAACCTAAGTTTCAGTTTGTAGATGACAGCAAAAAAGTGCTGTCCCGAGTACTGAGAAGTACTCTTACTAATGAAGAAAGAAATGATAGAAAATGTTTAGTCTATAATTTGTACTGATTAAAATACTTGAAACATGTTGTTTGAAACTATATATGGTGCATTTGAAATACTCTTTCCTACTTTATTGAATTACTTTTTAAAATGCTGTTCTTATTTTTCCCCCAAGGAATAGTATTCAAGTAAATAATACTTGTCGTTAATGTAAGCATGTATCTTTGTTTTAATAGGCATCAAGCATGATGGAACCATGTGTGATACCTGCCGCCAGCAACCAATCATTGGCATTCGATGGAAATGTGCAGAATGTACAAATTATGATTTGTGCACTGTGTGTTATCACGGAGATAAACATCATTTAAGACATCGCTTTTATAGAATTACTACACCAGGAAGTGAGCGGTAGGGTAAACAATTTTTCTTCAGTTATAATTCCTTGATGGCATTCAATTTTTTATACTATTCAGCCTTAAAAATAGGATTTGGAAATAGCTTCTGACAGCTGGTTTAGTACCAGGACATAGGAAATAATAGGCTAGATGTGGACTAGGCCTGCCATATACTGAGAAGAAAGCTCTGTGAAGATGGAGCTGTATGTATTTTTTCAAGATAATCTGGGCTGTTCTTTCTCTGGCACGGAGACTTGGCACTCCTCAGTATTTGGAAAAGCAAGGGCGGCCCAAGGGAGGCTCACTGTTTCTTCTTACTGTGCGTTCTGTTCTGCTAACCGCTACCAGAAGAACACTAGGGCCCATTGATTGAATCAACAGGCCTTTATTAAGACTTTGGAGCAGCTACTAGGCTTGTGTAAATTTGAAGATAACTAAAACAGTATTTTTTTTTTTAAAGATTTATTTATTGGCGAGAGAGAGAGGGAGAGAGTAAGCAGGGGAAGGGGCAGAGGGAGAGGGAGAGAGAGAATTTCAAAGCAGACTCCCTGCTGAGTGTGGAGCCTGACTCGGGGCTCAATCTCATGACCTTGAGATCATGACCTGAGCTGAAATCAAGAGTTGGATGCTCAACCAACTGAGCCCTTAAGGTGCCCTTAAAGCACAGTATTCTGTTTTCTTTTTCCCTCTTAAAGAATTTATAAACTAAGAGATTATTTGACCAGTAGTGATTATCATGTGATGTTTTAGACTGTATATAGAGAGTATTAAGTGTCTTAGCAAAGAGAGAGGAATATTAATTGTGAATTGGTACAGAGTTTCAGGTGATTGAATCTTCTTTTGTACATAGATAGCAATAATGTATAGGAGCAAGAATCTAGCCAGTCATAGGGAGGCAGCGGGAGTAGTAGGAGAATGGATTTAGGTATAAGACTGTCCCAGTTCTGGGACACCTGGGTGGCTCAGTCGGTTAAGCATCTGCCTTCGGCTCAGGTCATGAACCCAGGGTCCTGGGATCGAGCCCCGTGTTGGGCTCTCTGCTCGGTGGGGAGCCTGCTTCTCCCTCTCCTGCTGCTGCTTCCCCTGCTTGTGCTGTCTTTCTTTCTCGCTCCGTCAAATAAATAAATAAAATCTTAAAAAAAAAAAAAGTGTGCCAGTTCAAATCCTGGTCCTGCCTTTTATTAACTGAGTAGTTTTAAACAAGTTGTTTATTCTTCTCTTTTTGCTTACAATTTTTAAAGTTAGGGTAATAATATAATAAAGATATTCTAAAAAATGAGTAGAATAATGAGGTAAAATTAGCAAAACAAAAGGAAAAACCCCAAACCTTTTTTGATTTTTATGAATGAGAAGGATATAGAAGAACAAAGGAAAGATGGCCTTGGAGAACCAAGCTGGTCCAGATTGTTGAGTGTAGATTTTTTTCAAGGTCCATAGTCCTCCTTAAGTATTCAGTACTTTGGAGACAAGTTAGTGTTAGGTCAACACCAATGTATTTTACTTGGCCCATACTGTGTTCTGAATTTTTGGACACCCACGTCTGCGCACGCGCACACACATACCCAAAGACTATCAGCACTGGGCATTTGATCATGGTAACAGTTGGCTGACAGAGGAGCATCTGTACCCTTTAGACAAATCATGGTCTTGAATTCACCAAAGTCCCTACCACTGCCTCTTGTCTTCCTGAGCCTGGGATCAAGTGCCGCTTGTTGCCATTTGTCATTGCTGTGGTGTTATCTTTTTGGCCTTAATTTATGTTATTTCTCTGGCAGTTGTAGGGATTTGAGTTTGCCACTTATAAAGTGGTGAAGGATATAGTGATACTCTGAAGTGGTTAGATTGGATTCATATGTTGATTCCATTCATTATTATTTAGCTTTTGTGACCCTGGATAAATCACTTACCTCTTTGAGACTGTTTCCTCATTTGTAAAATGGATAAAATATAACAATACCCTCTCTAAAGGAGTGTAATAGACTTTTATACTTTTGTGAGTGCTTTACTTATAGTAAAAGCTCAGTAAATATTAGATATTATTATTTTTCTAACTACTGTCATCATCATCACCTGTGGAACGTAAAGGTATTTATGTGTCATGCTATTAAGGTATTAACTAGAACAAAGAAAAATCTTTTATATTTTTAAAGATAACCTTTTTATTTTATTTTTAAAAATAAATTGGGGTGCCTGGGTGGCTCAGTTGAGCGTCTGACTCTTGGTTTTTGCTTAGGTCATGATCTCAGGGTCAGGGGATTGAGCCCTGGGTCAGGCTCCATGCTTAGTGGGGAGTCTGCTTGAGATTCTCTCCCTCTCCCTCTGCCCCTCCCTGCGCTTGCTCGCTTTTTCTCTCAAATGATTTAAAAAAATCTTAAAAAAAAAAATTCCTGAGTCAGTTAGGCATCCAACCCGTGATTTCATCTCAGGTCTTGAGCTCAGGGTCATGAGATCAAGCCTGGCATTGGGCTCTGTACTGGGTGTGGAGCCTGCTGGGATCATCATCCTCCCCACCACCCTCACTCTCTCAAAAAAAGTTTACATATATACAAATAAATAAATTACTGTTAACCCACCTTTTTTTTTGTTTTTTTAAAGATTTTATTTATTTATTTGTCAGAGAGAGAGCACAAGCAGGGGGAACGGCAGGCAGAGGGAGAAGCAGGCTTCCCGCTGAGCAAGGAGTCGGATGTGGGGCTCGATCCCAGGACCCTGGGATCATGACCTGAGCTGAAGGCAGACGCTTAACCGACTGAGCCACCCAGGCATCCCTTAACCCACTTTTATATAATTTAAAAATAAATACTTTTATTTTTAGGGTTCTGTTAGAGTCTCGTAGAAAATCTAAGAAGATTACAGCCAGAGGGATCTTTGCAGGTGCCAGAGTGGTACGAGGAGTGGACTGGCAGTGGGAAGATCAGGATGGAGGAAATGGACGAAGGGGAAAGGTGACTTTTTTTTTTTTATTAATTCATCATGTTATTCTAGAATATTGTATGTTCAGAAGATTTTTATTATTATAACTGAATTTCTTGGTCCATTTTTTCTCATACCAGTAACAATTTTTAAAATCTTTATTTCTTTTTTTTCTGGAAGAATAAAGATTGTTCCTACCCTGTTGTAGATATTGATATTCATTGAGAAGGTTGTTGGGTAGATTTTACCTTTCTACTTTTTGGCTTCATATTGCCATTTTCTTGCCAAGAATGCAATTCTGAGCATCCTTTTTGGGTCAGTCCTCCCTAAGCAGTATATCATGCTTTTGACTTTGTTGTTAATAACATTTCATTTGAATTTACTTGTTTTATATTTAATTCCCTTGAAGGCCTGTTTCTGGTGGGGGGTTATAGGCATCTACTTTTGTTATCCAGTCTACTTAACTCTGTTACCT